AAAGACATGCTGGCTATTAACAATCAAATGAAATCACTATCAACAAAATTCATAGATGGATTGTGCATAAATATTATATAACGTTTTAATGTAGAAATATTAAATGATTGCAAAAATGAAATGAGCTATTTTTTAAAATATGAAACTACAACCGCTAGTAGGTGGCAGCAAATGACATGTCTTAATGAGTGAGTTGAATCAACCGATTCGTTTAAAAACCTGATTTATTAAATTTTTGCAAACGACTGTACATACTTATAGCCTGATTGAATTATTTGCTGGTCCGTGAAACACAGAGGAACAGAGCTATGATGCTGTTTTTGAAATCAAATCTTTGCATAGCTATGACAGGAGAGAAAAAAAAGCAGTTAATCTAAAAAAAATAAAAAATAAAGTGTAACCTTATTTTGTAATTAAATTATGTAATTCTGTTTTTTAACTAACACAATAAAACAGAATACAAATATGATAACACAATAAAAAAAAAAACATGATTTAAGAAAATTAATAAAAACGTTGTTATCTGTTTTTGTAAATAAACTCTTCAAATATCTGAAGCAGACCGCTTCAAAGGACAGCTGATGTTGTGGAGTTGTTGTACTTCACACAAACAGACGGAAGAGCAGCCTTACTACAAAAACAGTGACCTTTCACTCAATACTGACACTGACACGTCCAGGTTTCCCATAAAGCTGGTTTATTTGAGCAGGAACAGTGCTGCGCGTGCAGTACAGGCTCGCATGGCTGGAGCAGGAAGTGTAGCTCCACACACTGCGCATGTTTGTTCGCGCACAGCCTCTCGCTATGTAAGGATGACACCGAGCGCGGGCTAAACGGTAAGACGGTCCGGCGCACTTCTCTCGCGCTAGCGTAACGGATAAACACAACCGCGCAGCGCGGGTCTTCGACGGCTCGTTGACGGGAAGCGCCGTCGAATGGCGGAGGAGCGTCGCGTCGCGTCGCGTGTGTGTGCGTCCCGCCGCACGGGAGACGTCATGAGAACAGCACCGCGGCGCGACGCCAGCGCGTCATTTAGCTACAGTCTCGCGAACGCTGCGTGAATTAGCCGCGCTCGGGGTGTTTGTGAATGTGCTGCGTGTTTGTAAACACCCGTTCACTCACAGACGAGCAAACAGACGGCGAAATGAAGCCGAGGGTTAGCATAGCGCGTTAGCATATCACCACCAGCAGAGGACTGCGAATGTAATGGCGCAACGTGAAGGGCTAACATGCTAACCGAGTTAGCCACTAACACTCATAAAAAGTGCAGTCGCTTAGAAACATTCACCATGGCAACCAACATAGTTTCCGCCGAAACACCACAGAGATTGTTACTGGTTAACTCCTGATCTCCTTCAGACACCGCGGCAGTGAGTCCGGCTCACGGATGAGAGCTGCTACTGGTTCAGCAAGACCGCTGTTTAGTAGTCTTCATTAGACAGATGAGCAAACATTGACCAAATAATATTTGTTTGTTTAGATACATATATACTATCTACAAGTGTCTGGCAGTAAGGCAGTGAGGATTTTTCTTTTAGTTGTGGATATAAAACTATAGGTTATGTAAATAGTAGGGTATGTAGTTAATATTAGGGATATGCCGGTATGTTGCGATTAATTGCTAATGCTTTTATCACGGTATACGGTATTATCGCGGTATTGGAATTTAGTTTTTTTTTAAGTGCTGTTGTAATACAGTATAACAGGTTTAATAACTTTTTTCTCATAACACAAATAACTGAACATTTAAATGCAATAAAGCAATACAGAACAATTATAAAGTTAAAAGTTTTACACAGATTAAAGTGCAAAAGAACTATAAAGACCAATAGGTATCACTTTACAATAAGAGCTCATTAGTTAAGCTTAGTTAATGCATTAACATTCACACTGAGCAATAGCTACATTTGCTACAGAAGTTATTAATCTGTTTAAAAAAATACAAGTCGTAGTTCATGTTAGCTCATTAAATAACACAGCTGCAACTTTCGATTTTAACAATTGATGGGAAAGTATTCTTAAAATGCATTCAAAATTCAGAATAATTTGTAATATTTAATTATTCACGGTATTTAGAAGTGCCCACGATAACAATATCGTGCATATTCATTACCGTGATATATCGCATTACCGAATACCAGCACAAGTCTACTTAATGTAAACCATACTTATATATATATATATCGCTATCAAGAGATTCCGGATGCACAGTTTTTATAACCCGAGGCTGCTAATGATCGTTATTCTTGGTGCCTCAATTTATTTCTGTTAAAAAAAAGAAAGAATTTGAAAATATAAAGCCTTAAGGCATTGACGTCTACAGTGGTGTTGTGTTTTAAGTTGAAACTTTCCATGTTGACTCATGTTATCATTGCTTAATTGTAAAGTTTTATGTATTTATGTTGCTTAAGAGGTGGAGCATGTCACAAAGATTATATATGATTAATTTCAAAAAGGTTTTCGGAATTACACGAACAAATGAATTGTGCCCAATAAGACCAGGATTGTGTATTAAGAGAATGAAACATGTTCAGTGTTAAATTGAAATGTTTTCTACTTATAATCTACTAATCAGTATAATCGAGTAAAAAAAAAACAAAAAAACATTTAAATTAATATTATTATGATTATTATTAAAAAAGTGATATTGTGAAATATTATATATAAATATATATATACACACTACAATTCCAAAGAGCAGTTTTCTATTGTAATATATTTTATTTAAAATTCAGTGTCACATGATCTTTTAGAAATCACACTTTTTTTTTTGTTTAAGGTTTAAAAAATGTTGTACTTTTATTTGAGGACACATTAAATTGATCAAAGTGACAGTAAAGACATTTATAATGTTACAAAAGATTTTAAAATGCTTTTTCAAATGCTGTTCGTTTGGATTTTCTGTTTGTCAAAAACAAAAAAAAATAAAAAGTATCATAGCTTCCACAAAAAACCTGTTCAACACTGATAATAATAATAATGAGCAGCAATTTAGCAATATCAGAATGATTTCTGAAGGATCATGTGACACTGATTTCACTGAATTCAGATTTGATCACAGGAATAAATTACATTTTACAAATAGAAAGCAGGTATTTTAAAGTAGACATATTATGCCCCTTTATACAAGATGTAATATAAGTCTCGGGTGTCCCCAGAATGTGTCTGTGAAGTTTCAGCTCAAAGTACTCCACAGATCATTTATTATATCATTTTGAAAATGCCTATTTTGAGTGGAAGCAGAAACGCGCTGTTTATTGGGCTGGTGTCTTTAAATGCAAATGAGCTGCTGCTCCCCGCCTCCTTTTCCAGAATAGAGCTGCGCCATTACAGCTCGGACCTGCTAAAAACATCTGTTTTGGTTCTGATTATCATGTTTATCGCGCTGAAATCATGCGTTTTAAACCATATGAGTTTAAACTTCTGATATACGGTTTTCTGAGCGCACACATCCGAAGCACACGGACAGAAAGCGGCTGTCACAGCATGTGAGTACTAAACTAAGTTCTCATTCACACACAAGTTTACGTTAAAAACACATGAGTTACAAAAAACAGTCGGTTATGTCTGTGAAGGTAAACAGCTGGGAAATAAATCACATGTTTATTTTAGATCTGTGTGGCAGAAGCAATATACAGTAAATAAATCAATAAAGCCACTGCTGTCTTGTAGTGGTCGACCGATATATCGCCAAAGCCGATATATCGGCCGATATTTGGCATTTTTCAAATATCTGCATCGGCCGTTAAGTTTTTCTGTTTGGCCGATGCGTTCGAGGCGTGACTTTTATCTTGACGGCGCTGAGAACGGCAGCGCATGAGCACACAGCGCTCACATTCTCCCTCTTGTTCGCTGTCGTCGTTAACAGTTCTGTCCACGGACAGAGGTCTGTCTAATAATCAGATAGAACTGTTAAACAAAGGAATTAAAATGTATACAAAAAAGTATTATAACGATTGCTTTTATATTGTTAGTAATAGAAGGCAAGCATTATAATACTTTCTCGTTTGCCGTCAGCATTCAGCAAATACGCATTTATATCATTTAAACAAATCTTTGAATGACTAATGAACATCTAATTTCAAAAACATTGCAAACTTAGTCGAGTCCAACTGTTGTTGTTTACAGTGTTTAATTCCTTTTTAATTATATTTTTATTAAATACTTGTTTATTTGTGAAAAATACACTTAAAATTTTTTTTATTTGTCATTTAAAGTATAAGCATGTTTATTTTATACATTTATTTTTTAATCCATTTTCAAATGATTTCAAATTTCTTAAATATTAAATAAAATACATAAAATGATATCGGCCATCGGTAAACCTGCTTTCCAAGATATCGGCATCGGCTGTAAAAAAAAAAACAATATCGGTCGACCACTGCTCTCTGGGTCTGTAAATAGTGTTCTTTGCTCCTCTGTGCAGCCAAAGACAGAACAGTTAGCATGTTTTGCTCAAACGTTCGCCCATAGCATTAGAGCTGGCACACCGTTGTCGCTTGCGAAATCACAATAATGGCGCCGTGGGTGGAAATTTACAGATTAAGGGGTGGTAATATTATAATGAGATCCCTTTGCCACGTCACCAAGGGAGCGAAATCAGACGCGCTCGTTTTCGCAGACGCTTAGAGAAAAATACTTACCTAAACAAAGCTACTGGGTTAATCTTTTTCACGTTTCCTTGATTGGTAGATGCACCGTGGACCTGATTATAACACTTAAAACCTGGAAAAGTCAGATTTTCATGATATGTCACCTTTAAATTGTTAATTTAAAATAACATTTATTCCAAAGTTTGACTAAAATCTAAAATCTAAACCAGGACTGTCATACTCCTCAGAGTTGAAGGAGAGCGTGGTCTATGGCAGAGACAGAAGTCACTGTGTCCGTGGAGGACATGGTGGAGGTGAAGAGCGCTGAGGAAGAGGATGCAGATCCTGACAACCAAAGCAAGACTCAGATGATCCTGCAGCTGCAGCCCATCACAGCTGGGTGACCACAACACAAACATCATCATAATAATAATGCATCAAATCTCTCATATTAAACACAAACTATTCTGGGAATAAGCGGGTGCAGCTTGGTGTTATAGATGATGTTTCATGTTTGATAGGCTTGGAGATGAAAGCAGTGAGACGGATGCTGCAGTTGTGGCTGTGGAGACACAAGGTAACCATGTCCTAAAACTTAATAGTGGTGATTTTTCTCTGTAGCATGACAGCAGGTTTTGCACAGCACATGTGTTCTTTATAAAATGCAGCCTTGTAGTTTAAACCGTCTTTAATTCACATTATTAGCAGTAATCATTCTGTAGACGTGTGTGTGTTTGTTCAGATGAGGCGTCTGCTGAAGGAGAGGGTTTGGAGCTTGGTTATCCCATTACATGCGGCGAGAGTAAAGCCATCCTTCTAGTCAAGAAGTTTGTCTGCCCGGGAATCAACGTCAAATGTGTAAAGGTTGGTGTCGTGTAGAGCACATCGCTGCAGATAACCGCTGGTAATGTGTTTAATCGGGCTTTCTCTGTTTCTCCGCAGTATGAGGATCAGTTGATTAGTCCGAAGCAGTTTGTGCACTTGTCGGGGAAAGCCACCTTGAAGGACTGGAAGCGAGCGATCCGGATGGGTGGCGTTATGCTCAGGTCTGCTTGCGCATATTGTTTTATTTTTTTTAATTGACTTTCAAAGGCACTCAAAATGTAGTTTTTCATGATAATTTTTATGAAAATTACACCGGCGCATGTGAAATGAGTAATTTTGTTGCACTAAGCTGTTAGGTTAGTCTTTGCGTCTAAAAACGTGATGTTCATTTGACACCATGCCAATTTGCTACTGTAAATAAATGCTTGCAACACTTGCCCCGCCTCCGGGGGCTTCTGATTGGTCCAGTTTTGGAACAGACATTGATGAGCAGTGTTGGGGGTAAAGCATTACAAGTAATGCGAGTTACGTAATCAGATTTTTTTTAAGTAACTAGCAAAGTAACACGTTACTTTTTAATTTAGAAGGAAACATCTGAGTTACATTTTCAAATAAGTAACTCCAGTTACTTTTTTCCCCATGTATTGACTGACAGCTCTGGTGTTGCCATGGTGAGAGAAATCGGGAGTGAGTGCAGAGAGACGTCGTGTGCGAACATGATGTTACTGTAGTTCTAGACTAAATATGAACATGTATTTATTCATCTCACTTGCACAAAAACAGATACAGTGTTCCTCAAAATGAAGTAAAACAGTCAAATGCAAACTCAAAATATTATAAAAACCTGCAATACTTAAATGTTAAATACGACAAATGTCATTTATGTATTTAATCCCATTTTATTAACCAATGTCTTTGCTACTGACCTTTTTTGATTCAGTTCAACCATACTTAGCCAAAATTACACATTTGTGTTTCATTTTTGTTATTGCTGAAGAGTGTTGAACTTTCTTCTCCTGCGTCATATTCTTCATGCGATTCGTTTGAGCTGCGCCCTCTACTGTACAGATAAGAGTTTACATTTCCTTCAGCCTGAGGTGTATTCATTTCACTTTTGGTGTGAAAGGGCTTTTACAGTTGTAAAAGAAAAACAAACAAGCAAGCCCTGCCCAGATTTAAAAAGTAATGCAAAAGTAACGTAAC